GGGATCCCCTGCTGATCACAATGGATGTCACCATTGTGACATCCGTGTTTGTCCAGTTTTTTGTTCCATCTTGTGATGGAGGAAAAAAAATTAATTTCAGGACCCCATGTCTGTCTATGGAAAATCTGATGTGTCCGTTTACATAAGATTACCCCTGATCCGGCACAATCAGGTCCAACGAAACGGAACTCTGTTTCGGAGCCGATGCTAACCGGATATAAACAGATGTCCGTCCGTGTAGATCCGGCTGCCCACAGACTAACATTGGGCTTCCGATCAGGTCCATCTGAAAAACTGGCAGGCGGACCTGATCAGAATGCCAGAGTGAAAGGGCTCTAAATCTGGCTTTAATAATTCGGAGTCACAAACCTGGAACGAGCATGCTGTTAATGACTGTCAGAAATTCTTAGGCCTCATTCACACTGCTTAGAGTCGGCCCATACAGATATGTGCGGCGTGCACGGCTGTATCGGGCCACTACAGAGAAGGACAGGGGCTGCGTGTGATTGTACATAGCAGCCTGTTCTTCTCTATGGGAGTACGCGGCCATTCGCTCACCAGAACTGCACATTCATGCAGGTCTGGGTGTCCCTGCTCGGACACAGACAGGATCCATCCTGTCTGCGTACAAGTATGGACACCCGCACGGATCTGTACGGGCCAGTTCTTAGCACTGTGAATGAGCCCTTAGACTCCCTCATCTCTCTACCTGTTCGATGTCCGTAGCTCATAAAATACTGAAGCCGTATAATCAGCATGACAGCCATAGAACTAACATTCTCCAAAGAAGAGACCAGAAACAGCAGCCTGCATAATTCTCTTGTGACAGGCGTGCTTTAACCACACATGTATGTTCAGCTTTAAAATACAACTCCCTATAATGATGGCATTCTTTGCTTCCTTAGAAAGTGGCCAAGTATCCCCTAAGATAAAGAACATTCAAGATCTGCTGATCTGCAAATTCTAGACAAAAAGTACATAACATGCCAACAAACACTGACTTCTACTACTTCTCTTTGCTGCATCTAATTGTTTTACAGAGTATTTTTTAAAGGAACACTAAACTCAGGAGTTCAATCTTAAAAATGCATTCAAGTACCTTAACTACTAACAAAAATGAATCTTATTTGGTGCTGACACTGTCCTTCCTTCTGGACGGTGACTACTTTTGTTTCCCATGGTCCCTGTGGGTGTTGTAAAGTAGCCACCACTCCAAGACCACTCCAATGATGGGCTACAATCTCAATACAAATTGGTAAATTAAATGTGAGATTGTAGTCCATCACGGGAGTAAACTTGGAGTGTTGGTTACTTTACAACACACACAGGGACCATGGGGAACAAAAGTAGCCACCGCCCCAAGCTCACTCCCTTGCTAGACTACAATCTCATGTTTAATCATGTGTACTGAGATTGTAGTCCATCACAGGAGTGAGCTTGGAGTGGTGACTACTTTACACCACACACAGGGACCATGAGGAAAAGAAGTAGCCACCCTTCAGAAGGAAGGACAGGGTCAGCACAAATTCAGAGATGATTTTTAGGATATACAGCAGAGTGATACACAAATAAGATACAGTTATGTTAATAGTTAAGGTACTTGAATGTATTTTAAGATGTCATTCCTGATTTTAGTGTCACTTTAATTACCGAGAAGGATGGAATTTTCTTCACTGTTATCTAAATTCCTCCTCTCATTACAACACAATTGAGCGATACCAGTCCTTGCACCTGCATTCTCCCCTGGGGTCGGGAAACCCCCCATAGACCTCTATGGTCCCAACAAATAAAACAAAGAGATCGCAGAGTGGGTGATAAGTTCTAGAGAGCAATGACCAGGGGCGTGTGTGCATAGACACTCTAAAGGTGTATGTCTTTGGATACAGAGGTAAATGTAATGAACATGTGGGACCCAGTTTGAACGTTTTCTATTTCTAGCCAAATTGAGCCTCGGTTACCCTATCTCTGTACAATGTACTGCTTTTCACCATGATGTTTACCAATAGCAGCAGGGTGTTTTGTAGCTCTGTTGTTCAAGGCGGTGGGTGTCAAAGTGTGAAAAAATCTCTTTAAATCCTCTATTATTCTGCCTGGCAATCAACAGCTGATTAGTTTTAAAGGGGATGTATAAGTAATGTTATGATTTTCACCTACAAAGACCGACAGCTTAAAAAATAAAATGTGGTTTATTCAGTGCTAGCATTCTGAAACATGTTCAGTCACAGCGGACAGTCCCGATGGACAAGGCCACCCTGGCTAAAGGCTACTGCATTTTACACGCCATCATTGCTCTTAGCCTGACTGATGTTTTCAAGATGTTAGCAGTAGTAGTAGTCGAGGTTCTTTGTGCCACAGGCCATAAACTTGGGTCTAAGGTGTCTCTTTATGACCTTCTTCTGGGTTATCACCAGTGACTGAGACTCATTCCTGGAACTGCTATAGTCTGGGACAGCTCATGTTCCCCCACTGACACCTGGCAGTGATGCAGCACACCCCTAACTAAGATATCAGTGGGCTCACCCAAGCTCCATACAATCCACAATGCTATTAGACACACAGCTCCAAAGACATGGTGAGGTGCTGGACTGCTGCAAAGTCTTAGGGCTTGTTCACACCAAATGCAGACCAGATCTGCATGAGTTTCTGGGTTGTGCCGCGTTCTTGATGCGTTCCGGGCCGTTGTTTAGTTTAGAATGGGCTTTTAGTGCGTTCCAGGGCGTTTGCATGCGTTTTTTGATGCGTTTGCATGTGTTCCAGAGCAGGTGAAATAGGGCTTGCTGCAGTTTTTTTACATGCTCTGGAACTGAACGCTGCGGTGTGAACTAAAGCCCAAAATACCATTGGAATTCATTGGACGCAGTTTTGATGCGGTCTGTAACTGCTCTGCTACTGGAACGCGCTTGGTGTGAATAAGGCCTTAGGTATGGTCATGTTAGCTATCCCATATACACTATGTACAACATGACTTCCACACTGCCCTCTCTCATGGAACATGAACAGCAACAAACAATACAAGCAAGAAAACAAATACCAACTGAAATACATGAGGGGGAGTCATCAAAACCGGTGGAGACAGAATCTGCAGCAGCTGTGCACGGCAACCAATCAGCTTCTCTCTTTCATTTTTTTCAGAAAAGAAAGAAAGATAAATAGAATGAAGAAAGAGAGAGAGAGAGAGAGAGAGATTATATTGTTATATTGCCAAAAGTATTGGGACACCCCTCCAAATCATTGGATTCAGGTGTCCCAATCACCTCCATCAGGAGTTCAGTGAATTCAAGCGTGGTACCGTGATAGGTTGTCACCTGTGCAAGAAGTCCATCTGTGAAATTTCCTTGCTACTAAATATTCCACGGTCACCTGTTAGTGGTATTATAACAAAGTGGAAGCAACTGGGAACAACAGCAACTCAGCCAGGAAGTGGTAGGCCACGTAAAATGACAGAGCGGGGTCAGCGCATGCTGAAGCGCACAGTGCGCAGAAGTCGCCAACTGTCTGCAGAGTCAATAGCTACAGACCTCCAAACTTCGTGTGGCCTTCAGATTGGCACAACAACAGTGCGTAGAGAGCTTCATGGAATGGGTTTCCATGGCCGAGCAGCTGCATCCAAGCCTTACATCACCAAGTGCAATGCAAAGCGTCGGGTGCAGTGGTGTAAAGCACGCAGCTACTGGACTCTAGAGAAGTGGAGACATGCTCTCTGGAGTGACAAATCACGCTTCTCTATCTAGCAATCCGATGGACGTGTCTGGGTTTGGCGGTTGCCAGGAGAACGGTACTTGCCTGACTGCATTGTGCCAAGTGTAAAGTTTGGTGGAGGGGGGATTATGGTGTGGGGTTGTTTTTCAGGGGTTGGGCTTGGCCCCTTAGTTCCAGTGAAGGGAACTCTTAAGGCATCAGCATACCAAGACATTTTGGACAATTTCATGCTCCCAACTTTGTGGGAACAGTTTGGGGATGGCCCCTTCCTGTTCCAACATGACTGCGCACCAGTGCACAAAGCAAGGTCCATAAAGACATGGATGAGCGAGTTTGGGGTAGAGGAACTTGACTGGCCTGCACAGAGTCCTGACCTCAACCCGATAGAACACCTTTGGGATGAATTAGAGGTGAGACTGTGAGCCAGGCCTTCTCGTCCAACATCAGTACCTGACCTCACAAATGCTTCAGGAAGAATGGTCAAACATTCCCATGGACACACTCCTAAACCCTGTGGACGCCTTCCCAGAAGAGTTGAAGCTGTTATATCGGCAAAGGGTCGGCCAACTCAATATTGAACCCTACGGACTAAGACTGGGATACCATTATTCATGTGCATGTAAAGGCAGGCGTCCCAATACTTCTGGTAATATAGTGTAGATAGATAGATAGAGAGAGAGAGAGAGAGAGAGAGAGAGAGAGAGAGAGAGAGAGAGAGAGAGAGAGAGAGAGAAAATATATACATGGCTGTATAGAGAGATAAAAGGAGAGAGAACAGTGGAGAGGGGGTAGAAAGAGAGAGAGAGAGAGAGAGAGAGAGAGAGAGAGAGAGAGAGAGAGAGAATAGATACATGGATGGATGGATGGATAGATAGAGAGAGAGAGAGAGAGAGAGTGAGAGAGTCTCGAAATAGATGGGATGGTGGTATATATACATTGTAGACTCCAGTGCTGAATCCATCCAATTACAGTGAGACCTGAGGGAAATATGCAGGCTTCTGTCCCTCTGAAAATGCTAGTTGTCTGGCTGTCATGCTGAGCCAGGTTCCCCTATACTTGGGACATGTGCACAGACCATGAGCATGCTTCCTGGTGGTCAGTGGCTCAGAAAGCCCCATGGAGGCAGCAGCAAGTACCAATGTCAGTACAGCATGTATTCATGTTTGTATTTGTCTGGACACAAGTATTCACAGACATAGTGCTGGGAGTGTATGAGTGTGACACCCCGGAATCTAATAGTGTGACTGACCTTGTGTGCACAGCGCTGACCTCCATTGATCCCCCCTGTAGTTGGCACTTACTTTCTTGTTGAGCTTGCAGTTTGCCGAGTCCCTGGAGCTCCTGTAGTTCGCTTTGACCAGTGCCAGCAGTAACGCTTGTACAAATACATTCCAAATGATGACCATTCTAGCTTGAATGCTCCAAGAACGCCAAAGGACAAAGTCACATCGAACGAGGGCAAGCTTGCTGCCAGGGAAGAGAGCAAGGCACCAGTGAGTGGACACAAATCAGAGCAGCCAGCTCTCAGAGGGGACCGGAGTTGAAATGTCTGCATTTCATCTCTTTAGTGGGCAGAGCGGTCAGGGCAGAGCCGGTCCACAGTGCCATGCTGCTTTATGGGCAGCTTCTAGACAGCTTTGTTTATTCCACAATGATTATACGAATCACTTCAAACGTCACCTCAAGCAGCCCCGCTCTGATATTGGCAACTGTGAGGCGGCATTCCCGGGGCTAGTGTGAAGGAGAAAGTTGTGGGAGGGGTCAGGAACTCCTAGTCCTCCCTCAGCTTTTCACTATACAATGTCCCCTCCTCTGGCCTAACCCTCCCTCCTGTAATCTGGGTGCTGTATAGAGTGGATGCTGCAGCCAGCCCCAAACTCATCAGCTGCTATCTTGCTAGCTCCACTAAGTCACCTTTGTGGGAAGGAACTTGTTTCCTTGTGCTGTACATGAAATGGCTATTGTACATTGCACAACCAACATGGCAAGCATGTAACACCTACCATCTGTCCATCTGACCACACGAAGCATGTCCTTTCCACGTGTCTTCATTCTTACTCTGGTTTACTCATCATTACATTACTATTGTTATTATTCACTTATTAGTTTTATTCATTCCTTTTCCCCTCCTTCCTAATATTATTACTGATGTTATTATTATTATCATCTCATTATTTTTATTCAGTTTTATACATTATGTACTTATTATTGTTATTAACTTTTCAGTTTTATTCATTCATTTTCCACTTCCTAATAATATTATTACTATTATTATTATTATTTTATTATTATGATTCACTTATTATTTTTATTCAGCTTTATT